GTTTTTATCAATTTGAAAAATCACCCCCTCCCGGTTTTCCTTCCTGTAAAGGCATGAGAGTTTCCGTCTTATAGCAGCCTTTTGCCCTCTTATGGATATACTACAGTGCACATAAACTTTGAATGCACCCATATAACGCTACATGTAATATCGGATCCCCTAGGCCTACACGAGTCTTACGATAGTCCTACGATCGTTGCACGATCATAATCTCTGGGCATTTTTGAGACAGCCATGCCTGTGTCCTGCAAAGTTTAGCTGTCTTTTTTATATGGAAAAAATCTGTCTTAAATCTTAGGTCTTTGTTCTGTTACAGTCTGTTTGAAAAAATAATTCGGCATCAGATTTTTATCCGTCGCATCAAGTATGCAGAAGCTAGCCATGTTTTGTATTCATCCAATATGTTGAAAACAACATTACGAACCCCAAACCATCTATCATTTGTTATAACTCAACAGTTTCTGACAACCGACACTGTTATACTGTGATAACGTTAAAAGATATGGACTGCGCCGCACCGTTGCGCCGATACAGCATACAAACGAATAGAAGACGTCCATTGCCGAATGATATACATCCTCAAACTTATTTTTTAATGCCATACATATGAATTTACGAAAACGAGGGACGATTTTCAGCTAAGTAAGTCTGTCCCCCGAAAACAACATGTTTATGGCATATTTTTGAGTGACGAGGGATGGGGACATTAATTTGTGTCTTAATTGCTTCTGATGACAACTGTATCTCTAGATTAGGTTAAACATAAACATAAATACACCCAATCGAAATGACCCTACAATATCTTCCCAAAACGACACGTTTCACGGATAATCGGTAATGATACAAGTTAATTGTGTCTAATTGAGTTGTTGTGGTTTGTATGTTATGTTTAGAGGCGTGAACGACGTCCTTGGGACAGATGTTTGTGTGCGGTAGATGTGCGTGTCGTTATGTCAACATGCCACAGACACCTAAACATCACATTCTGGGGCACATCTGACGGGGCACTTTTTGTAGAGTGAGCCCTGTACACCTAGCCCAATGGGTTATTTTAGTTATTACGTGATTATATCCCAGGTACGTCTAAGTCTGACAGGCACGTCTGATAATGTTTGCCGAAATCATCAAATGCCAAAGCAACTTTTACCAAACCTATCTGGCGTCTATTGCCATTGACCATTCCCACTTTTCGTCCAGTGCCGAATGTTTTCTTTCAAGCTTTAGTCCGTACCATGTTGTAAACCCTACTACTATGGACTACTAGAAAGACATACAAAAATGTCATCATAAAAACACGCCTATAACATCTGCTGCTTGGAGATCAGAATGTGGTTACCCAATGTTTGTGGTGGTTGAACATGACCGAAAGAGGCTCTAAGGACAGGATGATCACCTTTGTTGACGCAGAAGAATAATCGGCTCAACCAAGGTCGGGAAAAGTAATCTCCAAGCAGATCTTTTGGTAGGTGAAAAGACAAAATTAAATTTGCAGCGGCTGTGTCCATTGGCCACACGGTTGCCATTTAGCCACCGTGGATACAGTGAGCCTGGGCAAATTGATTCTGTCTTTGCACACACCAAAAGATCTGCTTGGAGATTACGCGAAAAGAAGCTTTGGGTTTGACCCGGTTAAAGATAACTTTACAATGGCTCATTACTGTGCTTGGCGTACGTGTGGATGTGGACGTATAAAATCTGTACCATTTGTCCCTAGCGTCGACTAAAATACCAATTCGAAGAGGGGTGGTCAACGATTTATGTCGTTACTATGTTACTATTCATTTTGCCTGTTTTTGAAACCGAGTTTATGAGTTCGCTACTCGGCTGGCATCTTTGTATTATCCATAATTTCACCTTGAATGCTTTACTTTATACTAGTACCACCCTTGAGGCCTGATGTTGAGGGTAAAGTGGATAAGGTCAGAAAGATTTACATCAAATATTTACAACAGTAACCACACAGGAGATCTGAAACACATGTACAGGAGGTTCGAAAAGAAACTTGAAAACGGAAGTCATCCATTTTATTTTTTCGTCCTTTCGTTCGTCCAAGGTCAACCAAACTCCGTACACTTTCAGAACGTCTCTTTTCATTCTATAGCATTCTATTAAATTCCCTCTTATTATTATGGAGCTGGTCTTAATTTAAAAGCCAGCATTTAAAGATGCCGACAAAGTAGATGTGTTCAAGGTGTGAGGGCCTGCTTATTTTTAGCTCTACGTATTTCTTTCATCTCGAGGTTTCGTGAGAAGTTCCCGTGAATTCCTTCACGTGTTGGATGTTGTAAGAAGCGGCGGTGTTTCAGATTAATGGCCGGTAAGGTTCCTGATCACTGCCAAGGCCGTGTCTGTCAGAAGTATTGGAGGGTTACTGTATCTTCACAGTTTATATATGTCCGTCGTTAAATGGTAGCTAGCTATAGCTGTGCTAGTCTCTCTACCAGACTAACTACACTGGCTATGGGGAGAGTATTTTGTACCGTATCTTCATAGTATGTCCGTCGATCGGATGGTAGCTGAACATTTCTTGTGCACTGAACGACCTCGGCATGAAAGTTAATCTGTGTTAGTATTATACATTATGAAGAAATTTGGGTAAATCCCAATTTACGTAGTGTTGGACATAAAGTTTAGCCTTTTCTTCATAACACTGAACGACCTAACGTGACTACTACGTGACATCTGCTTGGTCATTCCGGCTTCAGTATAAGTTGAAAGAGTGGCACATGCACGATACGTGTATACAATCGGAAAACAGACCACAATGGGCCCAAACAGTCCTTTCACCAAGCCTGCTATAGACGTTGTTGGAAAGTACAACAAGTGCAGTGTTTGACATCGCCTCAAGAGAGATGTAATTACGACCCTAAGGTTGTTGTCCTGGGGTTGCAAGAACCACTGTGCAACGACGGGAACAATTTCACCTCCAAGCAGATTCAGTCTATATCGACCTCCAGTAACAGTTAGCCGCCCAACGATGGTTAAAGGACCCCAATGGATACAGGCGGCCAACATAATGATGAATGAAAACCTTTATTGCACATTTTGCCACACTTGGCTAAGCACAGGTCACAACAAGACAAGATGAACGGATACAGTTAACAGATACAAAAGTAACTAAGTATCGTTATATAAATTTAACTTCTCGTTTTTCAGTTATTGTAAAAATATAGACTCCCCTTGTCCCACAGAATTTGCTAGGAGATTAGGAACAATTCAAAGTCACCCGGTCTTCTTAATTGATCCACCATCTGCCGACGTGCAGACTCGTCAAAAGGTCGGCCGACACCGAATATAGCAACGTGTGCTGTCTCCGGTGTTCTCTATTGTCGCGACGTAATGTGGTAATGTGATATGTACTGCTGCTATTATCTCCCACATACACGAACATTGAGCAAACATAATGACGTTTATCTAATAGCGTGTGAATGATGAGTTTTTAATTGAACGGAGCCATCTGTCGGTCACGAACATCGCTAGTAGTGTACGGTAGACAGGCACAGGTACTGTCATATCATTCAATACATGTTATAATGTATATATGTATATACATGTATATCTGTTTGTATGCTTGTGTGTACGTGTGTGGCGTTGTAAGAAATGGCGGTAAAGAAGGAATAGAGGGAAGGATGGAGAGCGTAGATAGAGGATTCAGTGATGAAAAGTTTCTCCATCCTTAGATGCAGAATCTTCAGAATATTCTAATGATACAGGACTGTTTTGCCCTCTCGTCCTCTATATCAACATTCTCATGTACGTCTGTCGCTGGCCGGCTTAAATATGTTTGGCTTTCTATTGATCCCCTCCACCGGGCTGTCAACACCTGGGACGGGGGAAAATAAACCGTCTGGGAGGAGAGAACCCGAAGCGGTGACCCTACCAGGTGCTCGGGCGCGCCCTGGGCCGTCTGAACCCACCGACTAACCCGGGGCATAGCATCCGTAGCAGGCTTATAAGTTATAGAACTGGGGGTTTGGTGGTCTTCGGCTGTTTTCTGAAGTTCTAAAAAACGGGGGTAATTCAAACAGGCCGGCTATGTTGTCTATATGCAATCAGAAACTAGCACATAAAAGCTCCCAAAGACCCTGAAGACCCCCAAAACCCCCAGTTTTTGGCATGCTATGGAGGCTAAACCTGGGGTACCCGGAGAGGGCCGAGAGGGGAAACGTGCTTTCCCCGCACGGGACCGACCGAGCGGAAGGCGAGGAGACGCTTTGGTGGCAACAGTTCTCCCTTTGCAAGCCCTCTGGCACGGTTCACTTGTATGTACCCCCATCTGACTACCTACTTGAGACAATTGTTTGTGTAGAAAAGGGAAAACGTACACAACAACGCATGTATACATGCATGTCGCGCTGGCTTCACTGTACGCCTCTGAAGGACATATTCTTTCCTGTGGTATCACTCTCCAAGCAGAGGTTTGGGTTTTTTGGCGTGTTTTTAGGCTTTTTTTATCGGGTTTTCTTTTTTGCATTCGTATCTTTTTTTTTACGCCAACCCAAGCAAAGAAAAGAAGATACCAGTGCAAAAAAGAAAGCCCGATAAAAAAGCCTAAAAACACGCCAAGATCCAAACGTCTGCTTGGAGAGTACTGTGGTATTATTACACGGTATGAACAAATATGCCGCTGTCTACCGGTCGGGCGACTGGGGGGCCTTTTCTTTTCTTCGTCTGCCGAGCGCATCGGGAGTTACCGGCCGCTGGCAGAACTTCGCATGCAAGGGGTCGGCACGCACTGCCCCGGCACGGGAGCGAAGTGTGGCACGGTGCGGGCCGTGTAGTAAATAAAGTCTAGTCTCCACTCCTTTTGCTGGGTCAATAAATAGTAAAAATCGGCCTAAAAAGGGGATATAATTGTCCAGGGGAGTCGGCCACCCAGAGAAGCCCCATTTTACCTACACGTGCCCCTTTCTGGCCGATTTCTACGATTTATTCAGTCTGTAAAAGGAGTCTAGTGGAGACTACATTACGTAGAGCTGAGACAGTCGCTAGCTGCTTACCTGGTAAAATTAGGACACACAGCGCCGCGCGCAGGCGGATATGGCTGACCCGGCTGGCGGAGCTCCAAGCCGAGATCTGTCGTCTTCCTCTATCCCCCATATCTCCTCCTTGCCAAGTGTTGTTTCAGATGGATGTTATTCTTATGGGCGGATAACCGTTCTCGAATTGAAGAGGTTTACGACGCGGTTTTGTGAACTGTGGCGGCGGCTACGGGTCCCAGCAATTAGAACACAGGTCACTGTAGATATCACTCCGGTCAAGGTCGGTCGTTTCTAGCCGCCAACCAGTTTCCAGTCCGGCTGGTCTTCTTGCTTGCCCTGCGCTGGCGGTCTCTAGATCTCCCCTTTTCTAGCCAAGAGTGGTATAACAAAGAGGTGATTTTTCCATGACAGCTTCAGTCCGTGCGGGTTGGAGTTTGTTTTGGCTGCCGGAGTTGAGACGACGGGAGCCCACACCTGTAACTCTGCGGGGATGGATCAGCTCTGACTCACCGCCTGGTCTCACACAAGTCTTATCCCACATACACAGCAGCACGGGCGGTTATGTAGCCTCTCTCACAACACTACAGATCATCACATGCGCAGAAATCTTCTTCCCACGACGCGTAGACGCGAAGATTTTCTCCAGGTGAGCGTCGGGGAACGTCAGCTTGACGTCAACGTCGACGTACTGACGTTTGGACGGCGCGACGGAGTAGAAATCGCGTTCGACGCAAGCCAAGGCTTCACAGTCTTTGTACGATTAGAGAGATGTTCTCGGGAGCTACCAACTGCGATTGTGTAAGAGGGGTAGACAGGGTGGGCAAACCGGTTGGGCGTGTTTCATACTGTATCATTAGGCCCACGTAATCCCCCCAAATACTTTCTAGTTCCCATTTCTGTCTGCTATATCCTAGTAACACTGTGTGCTTTATTGCCCTTAGTCACGCAATAAGTATAAAATGCTAACAACATTACTGATAACAATGAACTTGTTTACCTATCTCACTTCGGCCCTACCTCTCGCTTCCGGCGGTCCGCCCTTTGATATGTAAATGAGGGGCACACCTTAAGAGAAAAGACCACTCATCGCACACACGTCATTAAAAGCCTTAAGGGTTTAAAAATTAAGTACCCCCCCCCCCTTCCAGACTGGACAGGTAAGAGTGCCCAGGGCTGTCAATACTGTTGTGTTATTAGTCAGAGGTGGTAGGTTCTGATGGGGTCGTGTGGTTAGGACTGGGGTAGGAACGGATTGAAGGCACGAATGAAAGGTAGAAATAAATTAAAACAAATGTAAGGAAGGAAGGAAGGAAAGAATGAATTAAGGACGAAAGAAGTAAAGATAATGTCAGTCAAAAAGGAGAGTGGTAGAAATAAAGAGCGACAACAAAGATATCGATCAAAACAAGGAAGACTCATCAAAAATTGATGAAAAATTATTTTTTATGATTCAAAACAAACCTAGCGATTTTATGATATATGTGTGAAAGTCGTCTGTACTAAGATAGATGCTTGTATTAATAAAACGTCTATTGTAAGGTTGATGCCTCACGCAACTCTCAATGTGACCTACTGTAGATAGGTCTAAACAATCAGTCTGTTGTATTGACTAGTGCGTGTATCGACAAATCTATGTCATTATCAGTCTCGGGGTATCGCCAGGTACATGTATTATCTATGGAGGGGGGGGACTGTATAAACCTCCGTGCCAGATGAAAGGAATTGGAGTAGGGACTGTCTGGGTCTCAATGTTGTTGTGGGAGAATTTTAGGGCCCGGTCGTATATTCGTCGTGCGAATGTCGTACATTGAAGGCATTCTTGGGGCAGACGAGGCGCATTTTGTCCCTGCTAGCTAGAGGGGTTTGCTTGCTTGTCGGTGTCTCTGCTACTCTTCAAGCAGAAGTTTGGGCTTTGGCTTATTTTTGGCGTGTTTTTAGGATTTTTTTATCAGGCTTTCTTTTTTGCACTGGTATCTTTTTTTTGTGTCAGTCCAATGATACCAGTACAAAAACGAAAGCCCGATAAAAAAGCCTAAACACACGCCAAACAAATAAGCCAAAGCCCAAACCTCTGTTTGGAGAGTAGGTGTCTGCTTGCTTTCCGCATAGGGCCCTACAACAGAGGCCCCTGTCAGGGTGATTTATGGAACAACCCTAATTGGTAGACTTGATTTGCACTTTTGTTTACATTGAACTTCCGAGGGACTACTGGAAAAGCCCAGTGCGTTTAAAATATGACCGTTTTCAACCGCCTCACCGAGTCTATGTGATCGGTGCGAGTGATACATAGCCTGGGGACCAGTCATCTTAGGGCGCCGCTCTCTCGACACTTCCGTACCGAAAGCAACTGGGGAATTACTAGTAACGCACACAATCAGACTGGGGTATGTCGTGGCAAACCGCAATTTACTCCCGTGATCCCCAAGCGCAGTCTAGCCAAGAGGAAACGATTTGTTTTGCTTTGGAGAGTTGTAGCGTTTTCCCGTGTGCTAGGACGAAAACCAGTCGAGTCTCGTCGTTTTTCCCACACTGTGTATGCTTCGTGAGAGGCCTCTCCAATAAAATATTAAGTCCTAGTTCCTCCTAATTTACCAACAAAAGTGTTCTTATTAATGAAGCCCTCGGGCATGTATTTGCAATAAACTTTCACTGTTGTCCATAAGCCCCCACTGTCTGCTTGCTTTTTCTTGCCAAAGGTATGTTGAACAGAGCGACGACATATGCAATTTGTGTAGACATTATACAGGCAAACTCTGACTCCAATACAGTGATGATTATGAAGAATATGATTTCTGAATGGAACGTCTAGTGATGATAAATTGACTACGTCAACACTGTCTGCTTGCCACTACTATGCTTTGCCCTTTCTTGCCAAATACTGAATAGAACGACATGTGCAATTCGTGTAGACATTATAGGGGCATAATCTGACTCCAATTCAGTAATGATTAGTAGTAATGCAGCCTTTACGCCACGTACTAAATCTGAATGGAACATATAGTCATGACAAATCGACTCCGCCGGTAGCTCCAGTTCCCGTCTGATACCTCTATGCCGTGTTAACAAAGTCCTGACATAGTGTAGCTCCGGGGCTCCGACTCACCGACAGTCTCCAGGCGGTTTGATGTAGGTAAAGCCAATAATCAGCGAAAATCATTACTGAGCTGGGGGAGAGGCTTGGACAGGTGATCCGTCTTCATTTTCTAACCAGGCGTTGCGCAACAACGACCCAAACTCAGATATATATTTGGGCCTCACCGACTAAATTTTAGGGATGACATCCTCTGAAGATCACCAAACTAGTGCGCGCGCCAAAAATAAATGCTGCCAAACCACAGGAATACGAATCTGGTATGGTGGTTTTCATAGCACATAGCGACTTTTACGACAAGACGGCACATGCTGGCCTCTTGGGACATTTATGAGTCGGCACTGTACTGAGTTCTTAAGTTCGATGGAGCTTCGGTAGCCTGGGCGCCGTCCTCCGTAGTTACGACCGGCTCCGTATTGTCGCTAGCTACCATGGACTACGGAGGATGGCACCCAGGCCAGAGCCTCGTCGGAGGTGATTTTTGGGGGAACAAGCGAAAACCAATGCGCGCGTGGATGTCATCCACAGAATTAAGCCAGTGTGGCCTTACATTCAGAGGACGAGCGGTACGTTGCGTTGCGTTGCGGTTTGCGAGTTTAGCCACTTCATCTTGGACGAATTATGAACGCGTTAACGGTACGTTGCGATGCGCTGCGGTCTGTGAGTTTCGGCACTTCATCTTGGTTATGCGTATCCCTGGTATCGATTTAAGTGCTGTGTGATGTTTTGGGTCGGTGTCTTCACTTTCTTTAGCACGCAACCGTGTAGAGGAATGTGTAAATATTTCATGATGTGACAGTCAAGTGCCGGTTGTTTGCCTGCAAGTGATCTTCCACGTCTCCAAACACAGATGCCAACATTTTTTTGTGGTCGCCAAAAGGGGGCCAAGGAAAACCAAAGAATCCTCAATTTATCTATCTGTTTATCTGTTCTGATTTTCATGGTTATGGCCACACTGACAGTTACAGGAAATGTATGGAGGATCCAAACTAGTATGGAGGATCCAAACTATTACTAGGGTACATCTAATTTCATGTAACATTTTTGTGGTCGCAAAAAGGGGGCAAGAAAAAAGTTAAAATTTTCCCATACCCCCTTATCAATCTACAGAATTGGATGTTATGATGTTCAATTAAGATTATGACCACATACAGTTACAGGATATTAATAGGATATATCTAATTTCATCCCTGCTATTTTGAGCGGTGGTGACGCAGGTTGTGTCAGTCTAAGTTAGATACAGAGATAACACTCCGTCTTCTTCAATAAAAATAGAGCGATCCAGAATCTAATAACGTTTTCGGGGATGCGAATTGTCATCTTTGAAATTAGATTCCAAAGACTCTGGTGAAGATAACGTGTTGTGAAATATTACCCAGTATATGGCCCTTTAGGGACTGCCTCACCCTGGATCATCACACGATGTTATGGAAGGATCTAAAGTATCGGTCACGTTCGTCTTACGATCGTACGTTCGTCGCACGACCATCGTGCGATCGCAAATTAAAGGCAATCTTGAGACAATCGTGGTAGTTTAGTATTGATTGTTTTATCCTGTGTGAAGATATCGGCATGATGACTTTGAAAAGCTGTCTACCTGTTCCACCATGCCGTCCATGTATGTGGAAACTTGTACTAACTAGATACATAAATGAATAGATGATAGCATTGATCTTACCATGTATAAGTCTTAAGATAAGTGTGTGTAAGTTATGATGGGGAGCACGGAATTAAATCTTGCACTTCAACCTCCTGTCTGCTATAAGGCTTCAACCATTAAACCAGCTGCAGGCATATATAAAGAAATGAAAGAGTACTGTCCTGTTAGTTACTTTTTGTCTGACGTCTAACCTACCACCCAGGATGTGCCCTGCCCCTGACCGTTTGTTCCGTGTATGTTCGCGTCCTTTGTTAGTGCGTGGGTTTTCTCCTCCCGTGGGTTTCCTGCCCTTTGACCCGCTAGAACAGCCCTGTTGACTGGCTGACTACCACAGTGATAACGTCATGATTTTGTTTCTGATCCTCAGGGCGTTTTGTGTCTATAATCAGCCACTGTTTTGTCTCTGTAGGGCCACACTGATTTCACTATATGGATGACATCTGTCAGTGTCTAAAAAGAAGAGTTTGCGACCATGTTGTTTCTTTGGGTACCTGAAGGATACCTACCTAGTACCTACCTATCTTGTCCCATGACCGACACTGGTCTTCGTGGGGACAAGGCAGACTTTGCAGCAGAGGTGTAGCCAGATTTTCCTGTCTTAGGCTACTGTCAGGAGTTTTGGGACGGCGATGGACGTCCAGTCCCAGACTTTCTTCTGTCGTCCTCGCCGTCGCTTCCCTTCCAGCGTCCCTTGTAGAATGGTCTTAGTCAGGTTGTCCTGAAGGATGCTAGAGGTCAAAAGGAAAAGAAGAAGATGCCAGAGGAAGGGAAGCAGGACCCAAATTACAATATCCTCAGTGCACCACCAAGTCTTCCGAAGTCAAAGAAGCTGTGGAACACAAGTAGAGAATTTCATGTTTGGTAAACCCTCTTGATCACTTAGATTTCGCAATGAAGGCATTTTTCTTGCCCAACTTTTTATTAGCACGCTAGCATCAGTCAGATGCCCAGAGGATGCCATCCATGTTATCAAATCAGTACGGCCTTTCTACTACTAGTTAAGCCGGAGGGCCGTTATATATACTAACTCAGCCAAAGACGACTTCAG